GAGAGGCAGAGAGGCTGAGAGAGAGGCAGAGAGGCTGAGAGAGAGGCTGAGAGGCACAGAGGCAGAGGCAGTCTCTGAGTTTGAGGCCAGCCTGGTCTGCAGAGGGAGTTCCAGGACAGTTCAGGCTACACAGAGAAACTCTGTCTCAAAATCTCTCATGTTTTTCATCACAATTATTGCGTGTGTGGACATGCAGATGGAGATGAGGAGACAACTTTGAGCTGTCAATTCTTTGCTTCCTTCAACATGGATTTGAAGGATTAGACTCAGATATTTAGGCTTTACCCACAAAACCATCTCCTCAGCCTCTAAAACAGACTCTTAAGATCTAAAAGTTAAGGGACACAGACAAGCTGTTTTCACTGTTACTCATGTGTGTGTGTGTTTTGTGTGTGTGTGTGTGTGTGTGTGTGTGTACCACATATACTCAGGTGCCCACAGATGCCAGAAGAGTGTGTTGGATCCTTTGGTTCTGGAGTTACACATGGCTGTTAGTCACCATGCAGGTTTCAAGAAGCAAACTCAGGTTCTTTGGAAGAACAGTGAGAGTCCTTAACCTCTGAGCCGCCTCTCCAGCAGTGTGTTAAAGATGTGTCGTGGCCCCTGACCTCATTGCTTCCCTCGGATTCTTCCTTTTATCTCATGTTTATTATTTGAGGTGTCATCATCTCCATTAAAATACACAAAACTAGCCATGTGTGATGGTGCACACCTTTAATCCGGGTACTCAGGAGGCAAAGGCAGGTGGGTCTCCGAATTCACTACTCTAGTCTACAGAGTGAGTTCCAGGACAGCCAGGACTACAGAGAAACTCTATTTTGAAAAACCATGACCAAACCAAACCAAACCCCACAAAATTTTTAATGGAAGTAGACAGGGCTGTGACTTTCCTTAATGCAATGACTGCAGGTGTTTATTGTATAAGGTCCCTTATGTATGAGGGGGATGTAAAGAAAAGTGGGGGAGGGGCGCTGACTTTTTCAGAGCTATTCTGGGAAACCTTATCACCCATTTTGGATTAAAGCTTTGCTAGTTTGTAGCTTATTATTTAATTTCTGTTTTGAACATGTTGATGTAGCCAGGTGTGACAACACATGTCTTTGATCCCAGTAGAGACAGGTGGAGCTCTGTGAGTTCCAGGCCAGCCTGGTCTACACAGCAAGTTTCAGGCCAGCCTGTGCTAGTGAGATGCTGTCTAGAAACTGTCAGTGTAGAGCTGGAGATGAAGCTGAGTAGTGGAGGGCTAGCCTAGCACACATGAATACCTGGGTTTAACCCCCAGTGCTCCAGGTTTAACTCCCAAACAAAAAAAGCAATACACTGATCAAAGCTGTATTTAATTTCTGCTTATTTTCCTTTGTTTTGAGGCAGGGTCTTATTGTATAGGCTTGGCTAGTCTGAAACTCACTCACTATGTAGACCAGGCCTGCCTCTTCTGGGATTACAGGTCTGAGCTCCTCATGCCCTCAAAATAAGGTTGCAGACTACACTCTCTGTTTCTAGTCACACACATGCATTGTTAGGGCAGCAAGCGGGGCAGAGAGATAAAGCAGAGTAAAGATTTCCCATGGTCTCACCTCTGGATGTGACCAATGGTCTGGAGGAAATAACTTAAGAGTTCTGAAGAATTCCAATGTCAGAGTCTGCCAGTGTCCACCATGTCTCTTTGTTTTGGGGCTAGTGGACCTGACAGCATCCCTTACTTCTACCTTTTAATTCCTGCCTCATAGATGATAGGAAAAACGGTTTGTGTGTTTTGTGGTTAAGTCCCTTGGTTGTGAGAAAGCCTGATCCTTGTATCTCTGAAGATTTGGGGTACTTGTGCTCGGAACCTCCTTTTAATGTGTCTAGGGAACCTTTTGACATCCTTCCTGGGTCCAACCAACCCTTTTGCTACATGGTTTCCTTACTTTGGAAAACCTTGCTTTGGGTCTTTTTTCATTTCCTTTAGTTTTTTTTACATTTATTAATATAGTTTTGTGTGTATGTGTGTGGGCATTCATGCTACAGTGTGTGGTGTGTGTGAGTAGTGTGTGTGTGTGTGGTATGTGTGTGTGCATGTGTGTGTGTAGGTATACCTCAAAGTTCCTTTTTCAGGAGTTGGTTCCATTATGTGGTTCCTGGATATCAGAACCAGGTTATCAAGCTTGCTGCAGGCACTTTTACCCACTGACCCATCTTGTCGGCCCCCCTTTTAATCTTTGTATTTGACACAAATCAGATGTCTTCTACTACTTCCTAAGATAACAGAACTTTTAGATTAAAAAAATGCGGTGCTGGGAAGATGGCTCAGTCAGGCAAGTTCCTAATTCCTGTCATGTAAATATGAGGATCTAAGACTGAATTCCCAGCACACCTATGAAAAGCCAGCTGCGTTTGTACTGTCTGCAACCTCAGAATGGGCGGTTGGACATAGGGAGATCCCTAGAGTTTGCTGACCACTCAAGCTAGCCAAGCAGTAAACCTCTGGCTCAGTGATACAGTCTGTCTCAAAAATAAGGTGGAGAAAGATACTTGGCATAGACCTCTGGTCCCCATACATTCGCACACATGCATGCATACCTGTATGCTTATGTACACAAACACATGCACACACCTCTAGAGACATGCACCCACACGTACACTACACACACATTCACACAGAAATTTTTTTACAAACTAAAAAAAAACCCTAAAGCTAATATTTCACTGTGTAGCCCTGGTTGTCCTGGAACCTGCTTTGTAAACCAGGAAGACCTCAAACCCCACAGAGGTCCACTTGCGTCTGCCTCCCGAGCGTTGGGATTAAAGATGGGGACCACCACGTTCAGCATGAAAATTTATGTTGTCAGCCTTCATTATACAATATGTTAAAGCATGCTTGCTGGTGTGCAGTGACTGATTTGGAGTGGGCTTCTTCATTTCGTGTCTTACCTGATGCTATTCAGCACAGGAGAGGTGTGTTTAGTATAGAAAGAGTTCGGGCAGATTCCCCCCTCTCATTTTGTCCCGAGAGATTTGGTGACTATCAATTGATCAAAGGCTGATTTAATTTTCCTTATGTGTCAAATAAAGCTTAAGATGGGCAGCCAAAGGAAACATCTTTTTGATGGACACATAGAATGAATATAAAAAAGACCACTTGAGATAATAAGGAAGGCTTTTTTTTTTAGGTTACCCCCTGGTTTTTAAAATATGGAAATGACTTTTGCGATAATCCCTGACATTGGAACCACTCCCAGAGGCTGAATTCCCTCTCACTAATGCAGAAGAGGCGGCAGCTGTAGGAAACCCGCTGTCTTTTGTTCAGCAGATTCTGGACTTAACTTTTGGGGGACCTGATGAGATTTTAAGGATAATCTGGTTTTCTCTCCTTTGATCATTTCTGTCTTTAGTTTAGGGAGTTAGTTTCATGGACCCAGGATCTTGAAAGAGTTCTCAAAGGAATAATGGTCTTATAAATATTCTAGCAATTCCTCGAGTTTTGGGCCCTTGAGCTTTCATCTTATTGAATTTAGAAGGAAAGTTAGAAGAAAGAGGAGGAGAGGGAGGAAAAGGAGGAGGAAGAGGAGGAAGAGGAT